CGTCACGTGACTCCGCTGTCGTAACACACTAGCGAATCTTCTAGAATACTCGTCACGTGACCTCCACTGTCGTAACAGTACTCTTACTAACTTCCTGAAAGTCATTGTTAGCTGATGTATCCCTTGCATGTAAAAGCTTAAGCTCCTCCTGAAATGCTGTTGCTATTTCCCACAGTCTACACTTCTCTTTATCTGTTGTAATGATAGACACAACAGGGCATAATTTAAACTTTCTGTTCAGCAGCTGCTTTAATTTGAAATAACATTTCAAAATTAATGAACAAGTGTTTATTAATTAAAAACATGTAACTAATTCTAGTATTAAACATGTTTTCATGATACTAACGTTACTCTGTTATTGCCCCTGGTGGCTCAGTGGTAAATGAGTGCTTATAATGCTACAAATTTGGTTTTGGTATTCCTGGTGGGCAGAGTACAGATAGCCCATTGTTTAGCTTTGTGCTTATGAACAAACAAAACAGATTCTCCTTTATTAAGTTAAAAAGAACATTTAAATATGTATATCTTTCATGAAATATATTATTATAACCAAACTGTTTCTTCATAATCATAAATTTATTTTGTTTTTCTTCTCTTATAGCATGTTGAAGATTTCACATTAAGATCTAATTCTGAATATGTGGTTTCATCTTACTCTAAACTTTATACTTGTTTCAAACTTACATTATCACATTTTTATGGTACTCCACATCTGTGTCATTGATTTCAATGGGAATTAAATTATCTTGTCAATTTTCAGTCATGGTGTTTTGCATCTAGAAGTGATTTTTATTAAAGAAATTTATTCTTAAATAACATGTAACAGTAATTATTCTCTATATTTTAAGTTGATACACTACCATGAAATATTATAACACCAAGTTGTGACTTCAGGTTCATTACTATGCTTTCGTGTTCAATTACTACATGAAAAAAAAATTCTGTAAGTTATATCAAAATGTCAAAACTACTTTAACTGTTACTGACTTCAGGTGTTCCAGATATGAGGGAAAAAAACTGATTTAATTAAATAAAATTACTGATGTCAAGAACAACATTACCAGCTTCAAATTCGATGACGAGGAACCCACTTTGAGACTAATAATGGCTGGAGACGGCTTGAGTGGGTAATGAAGAAAAACTTTAATATAAGTTTAACATAACAGCAAATGTACAACATTTCGACAAGGTTTGATGACAAAACCTTGTCGAAAT